CACCAGTGTGGATATTGTACTTTGCACTGACAGATTCTAGCTTACGTCTTGGAATATTTGACCCAAATAAGCATTTTCACCATATATTGCCATTTGAACAAGTAAGTTACAAGTCTGCCACGTTTGTTCTGACCAACTGAGGAAAAAAGCATTACAATAAATCTCACTACCAATGGTGATTAAATCTAAATGAGCTCATATCACATCAAACCGTGCAAATTATTATTATTGTTATACTTTATTCTCAAATGGTTAATGTTAACAACATCAGTATTGGTGACTATGAGTGTAGTGTGTATAAGCGAGTAGATTTCAATTTCTGCACAGTCTAATCTCTAATTGTCATACTCTTCGAATTTCATATTAAGAAATATATACTCAAAAAGCAAATTATGCTCCCTTCGAACTGGTTTTCTTTAAAATACAAATATTGTGTAATCCCAGGCTATCTGTAATCAGAAGCACATTTATAACTGGAATATAATTTAATTTCATTCACGTGTTTCATAAACACGTAATCCTTTCTGGATTACAATCCGCCATCAAAATGATAAATTAAATTATTCCAGCTGCTGTGAGAAAAGGCTATAAACGATCCGCACCTGCAGGATCCTCACATGCGATAGCCTAGTAGCCGGGACAACTTCTGTATGTTTACAGACGTAATGACGCAGTGCCATGCTCGAATTTCCCGCGAAAACCTACCCGTACCACTCGAACTAGAAAACATTATTATAAGCTAACCGTTGTGAATCGGGCTAAAGTAAGGCGATCGTTTCGAACACTGACTGGTTATGTACTTGCTCAAATATTGATTTCGGAAGTTTAGCATTTCCCAGATAGCACAGGTACGTCTGCAAGACGTCTGTTAAACATCGCTTCATCTGCTGTGTGCAAACATCTGATAGACGTCTCTAAGATGCCAGTTTTACATCGTAAACATCTTAAAGACATCTTCTAAACGTCTATTTGACATCTGATAGGAAACGTCCTATAGACGTTGTATAGCAGATGAGCAAACACTCTACAAAATACGTTTTGTAGACGTCAAATAGACGTCTCTGTGATGGACGAGTGCTGTCAGGGTTTGCTGTGGTATTGCAACATTTAATTGGTATCTAAAATTTTGGTGTTAGATTAGCTTATCTATTAGAGTAAAAGATAACAGGGCAAGTAAAAATGTGAATCAGTGGCTCGACTGTAAATACAGCAGAGATGTGTCTGAACAGCTCCAATTAAACCGGTTTTACTGCAGTTTAAGACTAATTCTGCGTGTCCGCTAGATCAGTGGTTCTCAAACTTATTACAGCGGCGTACCCCCGGGGCATTTAACATTCTTCTGCATACCCCCACTCTTCCACTTAGACCGCAGTCACACCTTTTCTATTAAAGGACAATATTTGCCCCCTCAAATTGATTTACAGGTGCATTTTTACCTTTATAGAGGCAAATATTTTCTATCCTTATTAATTGTATGTCATGTTTTGTCATATTCTTAACATTCCATTAAGTGTATTATTAATATAATAAAGCATTAAATGATGGCAAATCGAAGTGATAGCTGTAGATTTAAAAATAAAACCGGCAATATGTGTCTTAATGAGCCAGGCGTCGCGTCATTCATTCATTCAGTAACGAAGCAAAATGCTGTAGTTATGAATGTGTTATTAATCACTGACTCTCCGAAGCGTTCAAAGCCGCAGATTCGTTCACTAATGAAACACCGCTGTATTTGCTTGGAGACGCACACCAGATGATACAGAGTTCGTTGGAA